AGGGGTGACATTGGCAAGTGGTTTGGAGTGACGAATGGCTTGGATTGACGAGGGTCATTTGGACTGGTGTGGGTGATTGGTCCTGGTGGAGTCTGTGGCTGCAGGTACATAGTGAACGTGGCGAGTGTGATAAGTGAGAGAGAGAAGCGGAAAATAAGTTTAGAGAACCGGGTACATTTAGTGGATTTGATAACCAGTAGCATTTCCTGTGTCGTCGGTAACTTGTGGGCGGCGAGTGTGATGTTGTCAAAGATGAAGATTGATACGACGATGCACGACTTGGTGGGGGAAATCGTGACCGAGGAAGGCAACGAGAAGTTAGAGACGCTAAAGGCACTGGACCGGGCGCAGCAAAAACCATCGCAGGACGCAAGTCCGGCTACGCCGACCACGGGGCCCCTCAAGTCGAGTTTATTTGAAGCTGAGGAGACAGATAAACAACGCGCTCGCGAAGCAGCCATTGTGAAGCTCAAACAGGCCGAGCTCACGCGCGAAGTCAACGTCACCTACCTCAACGCTGCCCTCGAACTCATGACCAGCAACAAGACACCACTCGTCAGCATGCCGCCGCGCGCACAAAAAATGTTCGCCTCCGGCTGCGCACTCTACTACGAGAACTTCGTCGACCGCGTCCTCGTCAACTATATCCAACAGCGACAACTCAAGCGCCCCTAACCTAAACTATTGCGCTCCTAAGCTGAAGCTAATGGCTTCTAACCTAAAGCGCATCTGAACTATTGCGTCCCTAAGCTGAAGCTAAAGCGCTCCTAAGCTGCTTCCAAACATGTTCCCCACTCGACAAGGGACCTGCAAACATCCTAAACAACGTAACCGTCTGCGCAAAACTAAACAAGACGCCTGCAGCACACGCGTGTGCACACGCGCGCGCGCCTGCCCCGTACCCGCGGAGGGCAAGGGACTTTCTTTAGAGGCTTTCGTTGGACGTGCACGGCCCGTGGGTGGCTGCTTACACGTTGTCGCCGCGAATGACAGTGGTGCCTAACGATATGCTGTCCGTGGAGTCTTCCTTGAGTATTTTCTCATGGCACTTCTCCAGAATTATGTTGGAGGTTTGATCGAAGCCCAGAATAACGCCTTGGAAGATTCGTCCGTCGGTGGTGACTATCGTTATGCTCGCTGAAGCAAGTGGTACGAGTCGGAGTAGCGGTCGGGGCTGGGGGGAGGAGGACCGGGGTCTACCGGGTACCCGGGGTTCTACCGGGTACCCGGGGTTCTACCGGGTACCCGGGGTTCTACCGGGGTCTGACGGTGGGGGAGGGTTTCGTTACTGGCAACATATTGAGCAAGGAGCATATCTTTTTCGGGGGCAAAATGGGTACCGTATTTCCGCCGTTGGAATCGGAGTTGGTGTGTCCGAGCGTGGATGAGTTTCATGAGGAGTCGGATTTGGCGTTGAACTTGATAGAGGGGTGCCGGTTTGTGTATTCGCGGATGTGGCCGGGGAAGAAGTGCGACGTGGCGGTGTCGCAGTCGGTGAATATGGGTACATACAGCAAGGCGTTAGACCATGCGTCAATAATGCAGGTGTTGTTACACCCGGGGAGTTCGGTTCAGCAAGGGGGTCGGAATGCGGCGACGGCTTTGCGTGTTGGGGCTGCGGACGGGAGTAACGTGATTGTGAGTTACAACGGCGAGCAGTATTCACTCAAGGCGACGACCAAATTACGTCCGCAGTGGACCGCATCCTGTGCCTGGTTCACCACGACCCCTTTCCGGCCGCTGGTGGCTCTGCCCAGGGTCTGGAGCGCTCGAAACGTGGCGCCGCCGTTTTTTCGGCTGCCTTCCTTGAGGACCAACGGTTCCTTCCTTCCCTGGTTCAGCAGAGGCGCTGACCAAGTCGGTGCTGTGACAGCGGACCCCGTGCCCTACGACCCCGCGGATGCCTTGGACCAGGCTATATTCGACTCCGAAGACTTTGCCATGGTCGGGATCAACCACGCCTCGCCCAAGCGGCATGTCGGCGCCAAACTGACGCTACAGGCCAACAACTCCACCGTGCTCTATACCGAGTTCGCCGCCAGACTCCGACACAATCTCTGGGGCTGCGTCGAGTGGGTCGGCCTCGCCGCCTCCGGAGCCGTACTCATGAACTACGGGCTTAAGTGGAAGCCCAACGACCTACTCACCGTCGCTAACACCGTCTCCACCGGACCCAACTTCGAAAAAACGATGGAGGAGGGTATCGGGGAAACCGTCGTCACCAACAAGACCAGCGCCGCCTTCAAAGTCAATCCCAATCTCACCCTCGTCGGCGCCGCCAATGTACAGTTCAACAAACTGCGGTCGTCGCTATTCCATATCGTAAAACACCCCGCCCGTCCTGCATTCCACACCTACCTTATTGACCGAGCATTTCTTCAGGGCTATGAATACGTGCTGCCGAAATCCAGAATTTGCGCCGAACTCAACAGCCAACTCCAACTCAAGAGCACGGTGCAGACTCTAACCGGCCTAAGCTATTCCGGTCAAATTGACTACTTGCATGACGTCTACAAGTTCGGTTTCGGTTACGAATTGACGAAGAAGGATTAGGGCGAAAATTCAATGCACACGTGTGCGATTAAAAGCTGCTATCATCCAGGCCCTGATCTCGCGGGCGCCCGTCGGCAGCCCCGCAGTTGGTCGTTCGGTCCGTCGTTCGGTCCGTTCTGATCAAAAAGTATCCTGTTAAGGCACGACTAGCCGCGTTGGTCTAGCCGCGTTGGGCTGCCCTCGCGGCAGCGGCAGCCCGAAGTCTTTCCTGGTCGAGTTGTATTCCTTTTTTCCTTCTTCGTTCAATCTCGTCATGCTCTTTCGCTTTGGCAAGCATGACTTGTAGACGCTCGGCCGCGCTTTCCATGGTGCATAATTCCTGGACATTCTCCTCCGTGACGTATTCGTGAAACCCACCGGGACTGATTAGCTCGTCAAACGCGAACAGGAGGTCGTAAGAGAGCTTCAGAATGTTCTATCGAAAGAGCAATGCACCCAGTGTCCATATCGCTGGCCCGTGGTCCATATTGCCCGATAATTGGACTGGTCCCATCGGGTTGATCCCACTAACTGGGTCACTTACCTCCGGTCTGTAGTCGCTTTGGCACAGGTCTAGCAACGTGTGTTGCATCACTCTAAGTGTATCGAAGTCCAGTATGATATTGGATACCAGATCCGTAATTAGCACAGCGTACAAACCTCCGATTGGCACATAAAGGAACCGTACATTGTCCGTTTCGATGCTGGTCTTGTCCGGATTCGTGGCCACCACGGTGATAAATCTGGATAGCAAGGCCTCCAACCTCAGTTTGTCGATTGGCACATACTGGCGACTCACCAAAGGACCCGTCTTGCTAACAATAGCGGCACACAAGACGACCATTTTTATAAGAAAATTCCGCTCATGTTTTGACTTACCCACAGCGGCCGCAATTCATTCCATGGCCAACCCGCCGTGGCCACAATGCCCTTGGCCAGAATGCACCCGGCGAAGGGTTGGGTTTTTTAATGGGGCTGAAAAGAGGGTGGGATACCCCTTGGGCTTGTGTTTACCGCTCGTCGAAGCCTTTAACCAGCCGTCTGGCAGCTGAGACCTGTTTCTTTCAACACTCCTTGCGATCCTCGGCAGGCATAGCCACCGACTTGATCAGTCGGTCAGGCCGACTGGATCCTCTTGTTTCCACGGAAGGGACCGTGCTCAGAAACCGTGGCATGGTGGAGAGCCCGAAGATTGCTGACGTGTTCAAGACCGAGCAGACAAACCGACACCGGCCGAGCATGTTTAACGGTATCCCTTATGTGTATACGATGGAACAGAATGAGCCGCTGTGTACCGTCGGATTGATTTTTGCCTTACCGAAAGTACCTGGATTAGGCTCAAGTTTATCAGCCCTATGGAAGACCGTCGGAAGCTCTGCAATTACATGCCAGATCGATGAAGAGACATGCTTACTCGGATTTCATGTCCTACGGAACGACAAGATTGCCTTGGATCGGAAACTGCAATCTATTAAGAAGTTTCTCCATTCCGAAGGAATCAAGCCAAGTGTGTTTGCACACACATTTAATAGCGATAAAAAATGCTTATTAGACGGAGATCCGATCCGCATTTTCGAAGGCATAGTGAACATGCATACACTCGGGGATGTAACCTCCTTCAAGACGCCACCCCACCGTCAGTTTCCCGCGTTCGCGGACATAGTCGACATTGAAACGCTCAGAAATATTCTGAGTACATCCAAAACCGCGCTAGTATCTCTTAACGGAAACGAAGAACGCTCCCGGTACATAATTAACGTCTTAGGAATTGGCAGGCACACCACCGCCGTGAACACTACCCAGACGAAGCCTATCCAGACGACGCGTACCCAGACGAAGCCTCCTTACCCGACTAAGTCGGAGGGCCAGACGGAGACCGCTCCCTCGACTCTCGCGTCAGGGCACTCGATAATGTCTACCTCGGAAAGCATGGTGTGTTCATCCGAAGAAGTGCAACAGTCTGGGTCTGGGTCGGGTACCAGTGTAACGGACGTGGGTTACGAATGGGACCGTTGTGGTGATCTGGTGTACGTTGGAAAGTTCTGGAATGCCCAAGAATTTTCACTGATACCTTTCGGTGACTATAAAGATGCCCAGACAGGTTGGGGTCTGGTGCCGAGTGTAGTTGAGACCATCCTAGGCGGCGGCTTTACATTTTCCAGCGGAGGTCCGGGTAAGGGGTTACTGTCGAGATACCAACAGCTTGTCTTGCCGTTTGTTGGTGTGCAACACGCAATGGCGACGACTAAGAAGCAGTGGTTGGGGTATCACCTGAGTTCCTCACGAGTGGTCTCGTCCATTGCCGCGAGGACCTGCGAAGACGAGCTGTACAGGCTCGCTGACAAGGGCCCGTCAAAAGAAGAGTTGCAGCGAACAAAAAACCAGCTATCATTTAACCTAGAAGACGTGGACACGTTCGACTTGCTACGAAATTATGGACAACAGCTACTGCAACATGACAGAATAATGAACTTACCACAAGATTACTTATTGGGCATAGATGCAGTTACAAAAAAACAGATACAAAAAGCACTGGCTGCCATACTCAGCCGTCCTCCCATTAAGGTTACGCTATATAAAAGCTAACGCACCGTTAGTTGCTACAAAGTTCCCTTTCCAAGACGGCTTTGATGGCACTTTTGCTGGCGGCTCGGCATTTGTCTTCCACCCGGTATCTTAGGGAGTCGAAGGAAGTGAGTTGGAACACGTCGGGAGTGGTGGGTCGGAATTCGCTCGCCACCTCCTTCCACACAGGGTCGGTGAGAGCTTCAGTCGGGAGGCAGGTCAAGACAGTTGGAATTAGAGTGGCGTCGATTTCCCGACCGCAGCGGCCTACTTTGTGCACGTATTCGGTCAGGTTGGCCGGTGGGTCGAGTAAAATGACGCGGGCGACTTTTCGGAAATCAATACCGCGCGCGATCGATGACTCACTTAAGTTAACCTTCCGGCGACGCTTACGCTTCGGCGCGGCGATGTTCAACTCGGCCAAAATCTCCTCGTCATCCACAGGCAGCATTGTTCCACTCGGCATTGTTCCACTCGGCATTGTTCCACTCGGCATAATAACTGCACTTACGTCCGTCTTGCTGCTCGCCAACGCGGTCGCCGAGCTCGCCAACGCGGTCGCCGAGACAGTTGCGGACTCGGCAGCTGTGCCGGCAATGTATGTGCAGTCCATCCCGACGAGTACGTCGATCTGTCCCGAGTTGAACTTGTGTATGTTGGTTGATCTTGTTTTGGCGTTTTGACAGCCCACTGCGCGGGCGACCTTGAACCCGAGTGCGCTCAGTACCAGTTCTGTCTTAATTGCTTTTTTAATGTCGTTCACGAAGACTAGCGTTCGAGGCTTATCTTCGCCCATACTATATAATCTATTTTGCAGCACACCCACCAGCACCAAGTACTCATCGAAACATTTCGGGTCGACCACCACGTATCGGTGGTCCATCCGCTTCCGCATATCCGACGATAGCACCATTGCCTGCATCACGCACTCAGATCGATCGATCTCCAAGATGGCCGCCTCGTCGGTAAAACTTTCCTCAGTTCCGGGGTCTTCGTCAAGTTCCGACTCGGCGGTGGAGTGGGTCTCCACGCTGCGGGCGGTGGAGTGGGTCTCCCCGCTGCGGGCGGTGGAGTGGGTCTCCACGCTGCGGATCTCCCCGTTGCGGATGTCGCGTGTTCTCTTGAGTTCGTTTTCGTTTCCAACAACAACAAGTACCGCAGGTTTGTAGAGCGCGAGGTGCTTGAGTTTGTTCAGGTCCTGATTAATGGTGGCTGAGCAGAGCATGACCTGGCACTTGTTAGCGGCGAGATGGTCTATACGCAGTAGCGAGACGGGTATTGTTTGTCTTGTAGCTTTAACCTTTAGGTCAAACGCGTGTGGTGAGAAGATAGACCGCGTTTCTTGGTCGTAGCCGTAGACGGATAGGATGAGGTCGGCTTCGTCAACGACGAGTTGCTGGACGTTGGGGAATAGACAGAGGTGGCTTTGGTGTGGGTCTGCCTGAATTTCCTTCATGAGTAATTGGCCGATTTTGATAAAGGCGCCAGGATGTGTGACAAGCACAGCCGTAAAATCGGTGAATTTCAGTCGCAGGTCGGCGAGTGTGGCAGGACAGTCTGCTATGCCATGGCACTGGACGAAATCGCTACATTGATACAGAAGGTCCTGGAACACTTTGCTGACCTGACCTACCAGCTCCTTACTAGGGACCAAAACCACCGCCTCCAACCGGTGGCGGAATGCCGTCTTGCTATCCCGCTTCTCTCCGAAACCATATTCAACAAATAATGGACTCTGTAATCTTCGACCCAAAATACTTGTCAAGATCGGTATCACATACGCTAACGTCTTACCCGTGCCAGTCGGCGCCTTTAACAATACATCCACTCCTGCCAACGCGTGAGGCAATGACAACTCCTGCACCGGACGCGCGTGCGTAAACCCCAGCCGTCGCAACATGCTAGACACACGCGTGTCCACACTCACCATCGATTCAAACTTCACACCACCACCCTCATACCGCACATCCCAAACGCACATGCTCCACCACACTTATATATGCCCAAAAATACCTCTCACCCCGCCCGGCTATTCTCCCGTGAGTGAGTCATTCCTTATTCTTTTAATCACGACGCCAGCGAGTCATTTGATAATCACGTCAGTGAGTCATTCATTCAACGACCATGCAACCGCGAAATGGCAACAGCCGAATGAATAATCGCAGCCCATCGAAAAAAGACAGACAGGCCTTGCTTCGGGCCGCGCGCTGTACGCTTACGCTCTCGGCGGCGCGACCAGTCGTTCGGCCAATTGCCGCTCGCGCTTGGTTTTATATGCGACGTACAACCACGTCACCGCAATGAAGCCCGCCAAAGAACCAATGGCGCCGAGACACCAGCCCTGCTGGAACGCACTCGAGAGCTCGTCCTGGTGCCTCTGGTGCTCCAGTCTCCTGTGGTACGCCCCATTCGCAAATAAGTCATAGGTGCAGTCCAGGTGGTCGGACATGGTATTCCACAACGTGCACAACATCACAGCAGCGCCGTGTCTCGAAACTCCTGCGACCACATGACCACGCACTGCCACGTCAGAACTCCTGCCAGCACTCGCTCCGCTCCTTGAAACTGCATTTTGGTCATCGCGGTTGTATCGGTCACCGCAGTCGTATCGGTCACCGCAATCGTATCGGTCACCGCAATCGTATCGGTCACCGCAGTCGAATCGGTCACCGCAGTCGAATCGGTCACCTTCTCTTTCCTGACCAGCTGTCTCCGGCAGCCACGCGACGCCAGTATCGTCGTCAGTCTTGTCCTGTGGTAAGTACGCCGGCCCCAACCAGCTACAATATAAGGTGCTAGCAGTCACCACTTTCTCCACCACCTTCATTTCCATAATTTCCTGTTGCAAAATTACGGAGGGCCCGCCGTCGATGGTCTCCAAAGAATACGGTAGCTCAGTCAGGGGCCGGCAGCTTCGGTTGTGCCAATGGCACTTATTTTCAGTCAATCCCCATCTGTCCAACTTTTTGTAGAGATTCCTATTGTGGGTTGTGAACCTGTAGAGATCTCGGCCGGAGGAGTCTGGCGGGTCCCTGTCGATGTGTCTCAACTCCGGTGCGTTGCTTGGGAGCTGCTTGAGAGCTTTTTGGGAGGCGGGTGGGCGGGTGGGCGGGTGGGACTGTCGGTATAAAATTATAATCCCAGAAGGTGTGGAATGACACAGAAGTCTTGGCTCGAGCTAGTAAGCAACTATAGTTGGGTGTGTCAGTGTACGGGATGGTGCCTGTGATGCGTCTCAGTCGGGCGAGCGTGCGTCTCAGTCTTGGTTGCACTTGCACACGTGTGTTTCTCGGTAATGCGTGGGCGGCGGAATTCCTGGAAAAATGTTGATGTTATTCAGGGGTATTGCGCGTGAATTCAGGGGTATTGCGCGTGAGTGGGGTGATGCGTTGTTTCGTAGTCGGACGACGATGAGGAGGCGGACTCCGGTCAGGTGCGCCAAATTTTAGAAGAGCGCCTGCGCCGACGGAAAGAAGAGGCGGAGAAGATTACCGCGGGATTGCAGCGCAGCCAGACGGTAGGTCACACGTCGGCGAGGAAGGTGTCCAATTACGGGTTGCAGTCGACGACGTCTTACGGTGGTTTCCATAACAGTTCCCATCAAGGTGGTTCCCATCAAGGTGGTTCCCATCAAGGTGGTTCCCATAACGGCGGTTCCCATAGCGGCGGTTTCCATGGCGGCGGTTTCCATGGCGGGGGCGGTGGCGCGCCGCGGAAGGTGGCCAATTACGGATTGGAGGAGCGGCCTGCGCGTAATGCGGCCGGCGTCCGGTCGGTAGCGAGTGTGGACCTGACGCCTCCGGCGACGCCTTTGTATAGTGAGGTGGATGACGACATTGTGTTTTCCGAGACGTTCGATATTTGGTACACAGATCCCACAGCGTTAAGCACACGCGGGACCAGCAAGGACTTGTACGAGACGGCGTGCTGCTATGTGGGTAACTTCAACAAGTTGTCAGAATTTTACGCGTTCCACAATGCCATCGATTGGGATCATATCCCCGACGGTAGCGTAGTCGCCTACTGCCGTAAAGACGTCAAGCCACAATGGGAGGACCCGAGAAATGAGGACGGCGGCCGATTCCTCTTCAAGCATTGGCCACGGCCGGAAGCCGAACGTATCTTCACCAAAATCGCACTCGGCTTTCTATCTGGCATGCTGCTAGACTGGCCCAACTACAACCTCGTCTCGCTCCACGTACGCTCCTCTGCCCGCGGCTCGGACATCCAACTCTGGCGCAAGTGCCAACACCAAGGCACCGGCCTCACCACCGGCCTAGTACTGAGCGATATCCGTAACCTCTTCTTCGCCGGGGAAAAAGACCCCACCGAAAAGGATACCGACAGCGGCCGGATCAAGATCGGGAACGCCACCGTGACCTGGATGGTAAACTTCAGCAGCGTCGCACGTAACGGCAATCGACTGCAACATTTCGAACAACGAAAAAAGAATCTCCGCTCCAGCACTTCCTTCGGAGGACCCAGCTCCGGAGAACCCTGTTCCGGAGCCAGCGGTTCTGCGTCGACCACCAGTCCTGCGTCAACCGCCGGTCCTGTTTCGAGCGGTCATGCCATGTCCAGCGGTGCTCGGAAATTCAAGTTCGGAGGACTCGCGGAGTTGCTGTCGCATGACGACACCACCCCGGGCAGCGCCTCCAGCTCCTGTCGAGACTTTGGCGAGGCGTCCAGTCCCGGCGGTGGCAGTACTTCCGGGTCGCCTGTTTGGACACCCGGGTCACCGGGCAACGGACTGACCCGGACGCGCACCTACGCCAGCCCACGGAGCCCCTACCCGGACTACGACGCACCGGTGCAACTGCAGGCCTACCAACGAGCCATTGCTCTCAAGCAACAGGGACAGGGGCAATAACGGGAACCGCAGCACCTGCTGTAACCTGAAGAGAGCAAAACTTGCCTGCCGAAGAAGCAGCACACATTGCCTACCGAAGAAGGAGCAGAAGCAGCCAATGAACTCAGCTGCTGACGTATTCAACCACTGCTGGCGCTCCGCCGCTGCTGGAGCACTCAACCGCTAAAGCAGTTAACTACTGGAGCACTCGAGAAACAGAGGGACGGGAACCGTGCCGTTCCGCAGAGGAGGCGATCCCCCGTATGCCAGTGGAACAACATACCATTGACCTTTTTTAACATTGATTAACAAGCTAGACTTGCGTTCTTTGCCGAGCCTTCGCGAGGCGGCAATTTTTTGGCCGTGGAAAGAATGAATGTTGACTGTATTCCTCGAGATCGAAATGGAAGGGGCCGTTTTGGGATGGCTTACCGTTGAGGTATGGCGCGTTACAAACTCAATTCCGTGTGTGCACACACTTTTCGGCAAGAGAAACGCGTTATTCTTTAGTTGTATGACGAGATATTTCCGACCGCTGCAGCTCATTTCAACGCGTTGTGCGATGCAAGTCCTTTTGTGACAAAGTCTGGAAGGGAGTTATCGTACAAAGATAGTCAGATTTTCCGGATCATCCCAGGGTTTATGGTTCAAGGCGGCGACATTATAAGTAATGACGGGATGAGTGCGACTACAATTGAGGATGGCCAGGAGTGTTTCACGGAGCGCGGCGTTTGCAGGGATGCGCTGCAACTACTTAGTCACGACCGGCGAGGGCTGCTGTGTACTGCGACCAAAGGAACGTTGGACACGAACAACTCGCAGTTTTACATAACCTTGGGGCCGTGTCCGTGGCAGGACGGTCGCGACATAATCTTCGGTTCCGTGGTAAGCGGTTACCACATACTTGCGAACCTGGAGTGTCTTGGAACTCCGTCTGGGGCTATCCAGAACGACCAGTACATCACCATTTCGAACTGCGGCAATCTGACGCTGAAGCAGCAGATAGAGCCTGAAGTGACAGTGGGGAGGTCCATCGGCGGCGCAGGGCCAAGCCGGAAAATCCTGCCTCTGAGACAGGTGGTCAGACGGTTCATCAACGAAGCGAAAGAGAGAACGGAACGCGAAAAGCTGCAGTCTCTGACAGACCCCGAGTCGGACGCCATCCGGGGCAGCGAACACGACAGCCCACAGAGGTCAGACCCCGCGACCGGAGGCAAAGACACCGATCGCAATGCCAGAAACGGGGACCACGCACGCGCCTCCAGTCGCCCCGCACCCGACACGAGGAGTGCCAACCACACGTCGTACCCCGACCGCACCGACGGCAGCGTGCCCAACCCGCTCGTCTGCCAACCTCAAGACTTGATGAAGGAAGTCAAGGCCTACTGCAAAAGCAGCCGAGGACTGAGACCCACCTTCACAGACACTTAACCTTCACAGACCGTTAACTGAGGTCTAACTGTATAGACCCACCTGAACATTGCGTGGGTTTGGGTCATGTGTGACCCGGCCACACGCGCACACGACTGAGACCCGTATGCACCGGCATGGCCAGTAGCCGTCAGTGCGTCAATGGCTGACAAGTGCGTTTAGTTATGCTGCTTGCTGGGTGCTGGAACGAATAAATGTTTTGATCACGGTCGAATGTGCAGAAAATTATTTGAGTACACACGCGGCCTGTTGCTTGACCACGCACGTCCGGAGGCCACCGGGTGTGTTATTGCTGGGGCAGTAAGCTGCGAGGTCGCTGGTGTAGCGTTCACACAGGTTCTGGCAGTAGAGGTCGTAAGCGCTGCTCACGCCGCCGACGGCGGCCTGGCAATCCGCTAGGACGTTGCAGGTGCCTCCGGAGTTCCCGTTAGGGTTGGTGGTCATGGGAGCAGTGGTCGCAGTGGTAGCGCCGGTGGTGGGTGGGGTAGTGGGTGCGGTAGTCTTGCCGGTGGTAGGTGCGGTGGTAGGTGCGGTGGTAGGTGCTGCGGTAGTGTTGTCGGGTTGCGAGCCGTCGCAGGGTGCGGCGAACTTGGCGAAGCCAGTGTAGTCTTGACCGAGGTGTGCCTTCCAGAACATGATGCCGCCGCGGTAGCCGTCGTCGGTCCAGGCTTTGCAGATGATGGTGCGTAGTTCGCCGAGTTCGACTTGCCCGTTGCTGGCGTCTTCGGTCAGATAAGGTTTGCCGACGACGAAGGTGCTCTTATCGGCGGAGGGGTAGCGGTCCCATAGTTCGTTGACGGTCCCCTGACCCGAGTTGTGGAAGAGGCCTTCGTATGTGGTGTCTTGGTACCAGGAGCCCTGGTTGTAGTATTGGATGAGGTAGTGGTCGTGGCCGACTCCGTCCTGCGTGAGATCGGTCCAGATCTTGCCAGCGGGGTTGATGAGGAAGGGTGACTGCGGCGCACTCGTGATGATGGCACCGGGCCATATATCACGGCACGTTTTGGTGGCCGTGCTCATCCACTGGTACACGTCGTCCGTCGTGCTGCCGATACCCTCCTTGTCGAAGTCAACGCCATCGAGTCCAAGGGTCTGACCCAACTTACAGACATCTGTTGCATACTGCACCGGGTCCACACTCAGCCAGTTAGCCTCCTCACTTGCACCACCGTTCGAAAATAACAACTGCGTCCCCTGACTGTGCAATGTCGCCACGCAACTCGACCGCTCCGCGTCCGACATGTTGCTCCACGCCAACACCGTGTCCGCAGTGTTGTCCGGGAACTGCGCGTTCCCTTGCAAGTAAAACGCCAGAATGATGTGACTAACCTGCCCGTCCTTGGACAACTTCACCAACTCATCAGCCAATCCAGACCCCGTATACGTCCAGTCGTCCACGTACACGTACACAGGTACCCTCTCACCCGCCAGCGCCACACCCGACACTAACAACGCAGTACTCGCCAAACTTCTCATTGCCCCTCTCTAAGGCACATGCAGAACAAGGGTGCGCTCCCAACAACCCCTCAAGCATAATGATCCTGCGTGTTCTGTGTGTCTCTGCGTATCATTCTGTGTGGCTCGGGGCAGGTAGCAGAGGTTCCGTAAGTATCCGTTACCTGGTACTTGTTCCCGCCCGCAGTACCCAGACAAAAACAAGTTCTAGATTAGAGGGCCGCTGGCTCTACATAATTAACACCTGCGAAAAATCTCGATAGCAATAATGTGGGCTCACTGATGATCTGAGACGGCGTCACCGTTCGCACACAAAATCAAAGGCGCAGAATAAAGTTGTAATCATCAGACACCCAACCTTCCAGCCTTTTAATCAAAGATGATGAAGACTACTGCCAGCCTGCTGTTCCCTGTTGTCTTCAGCAGCTGGGTGTACGACTGGCCTTATGGTCCTTCTGGTGAGTGTCGTTGCATGGAAATCGACATCCAATTGCCTAAGGGATATGATACCGAAAACGAATGTTTATCGGGCTTCGCCAGTGAAGAGTACGAGTACTGTTCTTTCGAAGGGCGTGGTCTGAGTGAGCACCAGTGTGGTGACGCTGTGAGCCTTACATCCGAAACCACAAACGCTGATTGCGAACACGAGTGCATTAAAGCAGTCGTCGGCTCCAGCACCATCGGCGATTTCGCGGCTCAATGCAAGCTGGAGACAGTGGTCAACTTCGGCGATCGCGTCACTACCTTGCCCATTACCTGCTTTACTAACTACGTTCTTGGATATGCTGATTTCAACCCGCAGATCCCCGGTAGACTCGCCCCTTTGAAGGTCTTCGAGAACGTAGACACTGCTGCCCGCTGCCAGAGCCTTTGCCAAGAGGTCTCCGACTGCGCTTGGTTCCAGTGGAGAGCTGTCCCGGACTGCGGTCTTGCGGTCGCTGGCTACACTCCCTACCAGGCGGCTGTGCACACGTGTTCCCTCTACGACATCGATTACGTTAACGGTGTCTTGAACGCGGACCTGACTTCCATCGCGCCCGACCGTAATGCTTGTGACATCGAGCAGTTTGAGGACAAGTGCAGTGATCTATTCAATGTTGAATATTGGAACCCCTTCGCCCCCATGCAGTGCCTCAGTTGCGATTGCGAACAGAAATGCGCCTTCAAGACTCACTCTCACGTGTCTGGACCCGCCTTCTGTGACGCGGACGTGCCTACTGAACTTTGTGAAATCAAGCCTCCCACTCCTCACACCACTGAGGAAGTCACCTGCCCGACCACCCAAGAATGCGGGACCACCCCTCAACAGACGGAAGCGACCACCACTCAGCAGGTCACTACTGCGCAGGACACCACGGACTACAAGACCATCCCAACTCGTCCTCCCACGCAGCCTACTGAGACCAGACCTCCCACTCAGCCCTCTACTCAGACCCCCCCTCGGACCAGACCTCCCACCCAGCCCACTTACGAGTCCTCCAGCCGCACTAGGCCCGCCACCCAGCCTACCTTCACCACTGTGCCTAAGAACGCCCGCATGGTTCCCTTTGAAGCCCTCGAGAACACCGAACTCGATCAAGCGACTTCTACTGTTGCTGCTACCGAGGAAGACACCACTACTCAGCTCGAGACCACGACCGTTGAGACGACTACAGGACTTGAAACCACTACCACTGTCACTGAAACCACTACCACTGACCTAATCACATCAACTCAAGACCATACTACCGATGGCGCTGGCAACTGCGTCTGCACTCCTGGTCAGGAGTGTAACTGTGCTGACAAGATTTGATTCATTCAGATGCTAGTTAACGATGTACAGACTTTTTAAGGAGAGAGCGAGCCTTCAGTTTTGGCTAACGAACCACGATTATCTCTCCTGGCCTAACGAGCCCGTATTTAGACCAAAGTGTCTGTCAAGCAGGCACCCAGCCCTTGAATTGTCCGGGGAGGATTTTTAGTTGACAACTTCTACTAATATCTAGGGCGCTACGCCTACTGACGACCTTTGAGTTTAACGGCTCTGACCGTGACCATCTGCTCCCAATATTGAAGACGCGCGCGCGCGCGCGCGAAAAGGGATTACGAAGAATGAACGTCATGGTCAAGGTTAGTGCAGGGAGAGAACCTCTTCTCCTTGTACTTCCATCGTCGCTGTATAGTGTGTTTATTGAGGGTCACATGCCTGGTTTTGTATAGACCATTTTTGCTAATTAACTTGTTCTCTAACTAACTAAAGTTTAGCCAACATCCCGCCACGCGCACGTGTATGACCCACCTCCCCCACCTCGCACACACGTGTGCGGTGCAACGCCGTGGTCGCGTACGTAAGTCGTGTTCACGTAAAGTCGTCGCCTGCGATGGCGTGTACGACGCGGCACCAGTCCGTCTTGTAGCCGGCCAGCGGCGCAGTGATGAAGGCTTGCTTCAACACGTTCAGGTTGATGAATCTGTATTTGCTGCGGCGGTCTCCGACCAGCCGTTTGACTTGTTTCAGCGTCTTGCATGGGATGACGCTGGCACTAGACATATCGTTCAGTCTCACGTTCGCAAAACCCACCGTGGGGTGTCGATTCGCCAACTGAGTTCCCGGCAAGTCGTTGGTCAGCCCAAATTGCGCTTGCGGCCGCGTTCCAGCCACCCCTCGGCAGACCAGTGTCAACCAGCGACGCAGCGCTTCATCTCTGCTCGTCAAAATGCACTCCACCTCCAATGGACTCACCGGCGCCTCCCGCCACAACGAAGCCTCCTCCGTCAAAATACTCACCACCCGCTCTCGAAGTCGCGCGTCTCCGCTGCACTCCTCTTCACGACTCCCCGCCGACTCCTGCCGCCGGCTCTCCCAACCCGAGCTCGACTCATCGCTCCGTTTATTCCACTTGCGGCTCTCCGGCGTCGCATCCCCTTCGCCCGACCATGCCGCGCAGAAACGCTCACCCGTCCGG